TTATTCATACTTAGACAGATGTATAGGCCGAAACCTTCAATAGGTACATAGTCGACTCCCTTCAATAGCCCATCTTATTAAGGTGCCAAAACAGTGGCATAAGTACACTCGCCTGACTCTAGTTTAGGTTCCTCATATAGTCTTGTGTGCTTACTCCGGAAGAATCTTATGCTAAAATGTAACAGATATCTGTCATTCTCGGATTTTCAATAATTATCATTTCAAGATTATTCACTGGTTCAAACTATCTCGAAATTATACGTCATCAGTTAATTTATAAAGATTTGTATTTTCCAATTATTGGTATTAATAACAGTAACTGATCAGCCTCTATTGGCAAATGTACATCCCGAGAGTATTACTACGACGCTTCCATTTAGTGGCTAGCAGTAGAACCTAGTATGTTCTTTCCGTCATGTTTGGGACTTGTCAGTTAGATTTTCCAGGTGATAGGTACTGGTTTCAAACCTCAGAGTAAACATCAAGACTGGGATGAAGGAACATTCAAATGGTAAGTCTCAAATATGACAAAGCACCAGTCCTAAGCTCTATTGATGACTATAATCCAAGTTGACAACTATCAATCACTTGTCAATTTTAAAAGCAATTTTCATTCTAAATCGATATCATTTAAGTAACTATAGAAAAATTATGGTTTGTTTCTAGAATTATTGAAAACTGGATTACTGAGGTCATATAATGGTCAAACTACAAGTTGAGAGCACTTTAAGTGTTGTTAACTACATTAAGGATTATTTTTAAGATTTGCATCGTTAAAATTCCTCAGCTGGATATATCAAGCATTTACTAATAATGTAACAGCCAACATATTCACTAAATCTTATTCTTCATGTATTACTCATGGTAGTTACATATAAAATTAGTTACTTTATTAATTTAGATCTGTACTGTATTTATATTGAAAACAAAAGTAACATTATTAGTCACTGTGATACCATTACAATTGATTGATAATTTGTCCATTGTTGTAAATTATGTTGTCAACTAAATCAAGACACAATTATATATTCTTCATGTCTATACTATTGATAATTCTATAAATCTAATCTAGAAAAATAAAGAAATAACGAATGAATATCAAGTGACCTTGAGATAAAAGTCTGTCATATGATACCAATTTTTTTTAGTATTTCTTAATATACCACATCGACTAATAAAAATATGAGGGTAACCTTCAAAATCCATTGATCAGAGTGAAAATATGGAAATGTTAATTTTATAGAATGAATTTACTTGGTGACGAGATACTTCTAGGTCAATTGGTTGCCCAAGTTGAACAAATGATATGATAGGTAGTGTCGTGTGGAAAAATCCGATTGATTTAAAGGAAGCTAAACAGTGCGTTTAATGTGTCAAAAATAAGTATCAAGATGAATCTTAATGGATAAATTAGTTAAAGAATAGTATAAGAACAAGATGATCAGAATCTACAAGCAACGTCTAGGTTTTTGCGTAAAATTTAGAAATCATAATACTGTCTTATGCGAGCAATTATTGTTGTAGTTATCGAATTGACCTGAATCTTATGTTCATACTATTGCTTACATTAGTTGCTTCCAATAGTCTCGACAAGTTTAATGTTAATTTACTTCACATTTCTACCTATTTATATAAAAACATTTTGATAAATCAACTTGTACTGACTGTATGGAATGTAGTGTGGTAAAACACGACCTGCTTTATATACACTTTACCTTACCACTTAAGATTGTCTAAATTTAGCAAAGAAAATAATTTCTGCTCGATGTGAGAATAAGTCTGATGAAATTTGAATTTGTGTATCTAGCCTCCCTCGTTCTATTACCAACCAAATTGACGTTGTAGTGAACAAGAACACGGGTGGGGACAATCGATTGTATTTAGCACAAAGATTACAGACTATCTCAATAAAATGTGAATACCATAAAGTCAATCGTCAATTTGCAAAATATCATTCCATCATATCAAACTGTACTGTTCCCGTTGCAAACACTAATCCATTGTCGCCCATTCCATTGTACATGCGTTTTCTTACAATTCCATTGTGCTCTTGCTCTTCCTTTCTCGATCTTCGCCATCTTCTGCTGCCGGACATTACGTTCTTTTAACGCACGTTATATACTACTTATATCAATATAAGTAGCTCACACCACACTCGTCCCCCCCCTTAAAGCAGTCGTTCTTGTGGTGGTTCATGCTCGCCGCGCAACATTCTCCGTCTCTGCAGTCTGTGCCACGCTCTCCGTCAAGATGTCGAGTCTGCGGCGCGCTGGCTTCCACAGCTCTGTCGACCTGCCGGGGTAACAACAACCAACATCCATCCGGCACCTGGGACGCTTGACATCCGCACTCCACCGGCCTGCTGAGCCATCTACATCCGATGTCCGCCCAGCAGCCGCGCGTCCCGAAGCTCCACTCCGTCGACAGCACCCGCTACAGCCAACGCAGCCCCGCCAGGACACTTCACCAGACGCCACCTCTCCGCACCAGACTGCCCCAACTGGCACCCCAACTCCAGGCCCGCAACGGCGTCCGCAGAACAGCACACTCCTCCTCTCCTGGTTGGCAGCGACACCAAATGTAGTGAACAAGAACACGGGTGGGGACAATCGATTGTATTTAGCACAAAGATTACAGACTATCTCAATAAAATGTGAATACCATAAAGTCAATCGTCAATTTGCAAAATATCATTCCATCATATCAAACTGTACTGTTCCCGTTGCAAACACTAATCCATTGTCGCCCATTCCATTGTACATGCGTTTTCTTACAATTCCATTGTGCTCTTGCTCTTCCTTTCTCGATCTTCGCCATCTTCTGCTGCCGGACATTACGTTCTTTTAACGCACGTTATATACTACTTATATCAATATAAGTAGCTCACACCACAACGTCACCAACACCAAAACTATTAAGACTCAAGATAAGGCAATCACTAACACAAAACTCCCAGAGTTCTGCGACAGTAGTCACTCAGGATTTTAATGTGTGCAACTAGGTTCTAGGAAAAACTATCTATGGGTTCGGTTTCACAGGGTGATCACCTCAATTATGACGTAGCATCACCTTATGATCCATCCTCATGCAATCTGGCACATAATGCTAAACATAAGAATATAAAATGTTTTTACGACCGTTAATAAAGATCACTATGTAACCACACAGATCGATATATTATCGAGTCACAAATAACCCTGATAATTCAATAACAGTTCACCACATTCAGATAAGTTCTTCCGTGATGAAAGGTACACGAAATCTGTGAATACGAAGGATATTTATGCTTGATGTCTAAAGAATCTTGATCAGTAGTGAGTCTTACCAACCTAAAGAATTGATCAAAGATCTTGAAAAATATTTGTCCTTATGAATACTTGAAAACACTTTACAAACAGTGGCATAAGTGAAGCTTCGTAAGGAATAAGTGACACAGGTTTCCTAACAGTGAAAAGCGATAGAGCTGAATATGTTGGTTCCCTATGGGAAGTACATGATGTGAAGTCTTACTATCTCCACTTATTTATTTGAAAACATGAATATTGGTACAAAAGGGTACTGAATACATATGCGCCACACAAGTCACTTCATTTGTGCGTGGGCTGTGATACTGCCCGGGTGAACAGACCGAAGCAGGTGGTTTTCCTAGGGGGTCACACTCAGAGACTTTGACCTTAAATTCTGATCCACAAGGCAGTGGAGCAACGTAGGGAGATGCAGTCCTATGGTAGCCGGCGACCAAGGATTGGTTCATACGCCATTTGTTCCCTCAGGATACTGGAACCCATGTGCACCACTGTTTTGGAATCAGGACTTTTCAACTCCCTTAGGTGGATCCTACATATCCACCAACTCGGTTAAGGCGCCGGACATTCACTTTTTGTTCTCTCAATTTTGTAAACAATGGTAATGCCGCGAGAAGGCAGTGAGTAGGACCTTCCTGGCAGTAACCGTACATGTGTGGCCATGTGAGCATTTTGAGAGGGAGAGCGGACTCTCCCCACCCTCGGTCGTACCAGGGCATTTGGGGGCTAGCCAATCCTTGAGATAATGCAATACGAGGCCGACCCGTGGACGGGGTTGAGTAAGCTCACAGCACCCGTCCGGAGGTGAAAAATACAGGTAATTTCATTGGTCTCAGTTTAGAGACCGTTGCAGAAATTACCACACATGATTTTAGCTTAGAGAGCCGAGATTGTCGTTTGTTTTGTTTTTTGTAACAGAAAAATATCTCTCCAAACTATACTTTTAATAACTCGTTTTTATTCACCTATCCCTTCACTTTTCATTTTGACATAAATGCCAGGATAAGAATTACCTAGTACCTTACCTAAATGCTTTTACCATCAAATACTTTTTTACAGGAGTAAACATTACTAACTTATATTGTGTTAAAGTGTAAAGTTAACTGATGACAACCAGTAGTGGATTTAATGAAAACAATACAATAATAAATACAGATCTTTTATATGAAAAGAAATGCATACATGTATTTAGGTAGTGTAGTAAGCTGGAAGAAAAACCAGCGTAAAAGACATGTGGAATTCTATACAGAGCTTTACGGTCATTACGACAAACTTATGAAGTGGATTATTTAAAGCGTTTCTGGTAGCGATTAAAACAGCTGAAGTTAAACTACTGAATTACAATAGCATAAAGTTAGATCCGTAATTTTTTTTAAAAATATAGTATTATTCAGAAAATGAACCTTATCGAAAAACTGATATATGGATGATTTGGTCAAATAATAATAACGCCAGTCCAAGGATGAAAATGAATTTGATATTAACAAAGAAAAAATTCAAGGGAAGCAGCTTTAGGGTCAGTATATTGTATTTGTGAGGGTAGATAACAGGAATCAAGCACTTAGCCAACTGATGATGGAAGGATAAATCGTAGGAACAATAGTGTAACAAAAGCTTATATATACAACGTGAAAAGCTTCAAAAGTTAAAACGAAAGACTGTACATGCTGTGAATAACCTGACTTTAGTGCGAATTTATTGAATGCTGAACTTTGTGAACGGTCTATAAAGAGAAAAATAAAAGGCGCGATGATGGATGTCCAAAAGCTATAAGAATTAAATTCTTCACAAATATTACAGTTACCGACATTGCTGAATAAGGTGTCCCCCTAAACCTACTTGGTTCTAATGTTTAGTAACATAATTAGAAGCATTATCATTAAAACGGTAAGGTTGAGTTAAAGTCCATGAAGACAAGTCGCCCTAAGTTATGGTTCATAAATTAGAATTTATGAATCAATGGTGAATAGTTTGTAGAGACTGTTGACACCGAATACTGAATGTGACACCTCACCACTTAAACTGGAACCACGAATGTGCAACTATCTTTCCATATACAAGATTTCTACCTGTCCTGATCTGAATCCCACGTATTTTGTTTGGCTGTACGGCAGTCACGCGAAAATGACATACGATACTCCATAACTATGTACTACTACTTCAACAGTGAGAGGAAATTAATGGCCAAGTCAATCAATAAACAGTTCCTGATATTTATATTTCCATTAAAACAATGATTTCAAAGTACTGAATACGATATCAATAAAAAAGAAAACATAAACATGAAGTATAGATAACACTGAAATCTTTATAAAACTTCCAGAAATTGATTTATTCTATGCATCAGTTTTCGACTGGTCAGTAACTCTTGTCAACGTTGATATTAATCTAATTATAGGATCAATCTACGATTTTTTATTTATAGGGAAATGCAGGTTTTTGGAGAAGAGTCTCTAGACTATAGAAACTAGTGATCCAAGATTATAAGTGGACTAGATCAAATACGACAGACACATTCACTCGTTGTATTTCACACAAGTAATCGTTTTTATTCAGCCGTGGATGATAAGCTAGCAGCTATCAGTTATTTTTCGACAATCTTTTTATTTGATGACCATAGATTGCAGTCAACTGTTCACAACTAGTGTCAGAAGTTATTGCAACAACACAACCAGTTATAATTGTAAAACTATTAAAAAGGAAAACAATGTATAAAGTATAAGGTATTAGCCGAATTATGAGAACAAGTATCAATCACTTACTTTAGTGAGGCTATTGGCACACGACAACCGAATGCGACCACCGGTATAGAGTTGTCTACGTGAAATTGATGTCCTTGGAAAAAAGTGAATAACAAAGATTGATAGGGTGGAAACATTGGGTTGATAAACAAGGAACAAATTTTCAAAATATGGTCTGAAGATGTATAGAATGATTTTGAGTAACCAGTAAATCAAAACAAACCTAAAAATAATCATAAAGTGTATTTTTATAAATGTTGTTATTGAAGTAGTGGTAAGTAAACAATGTAGAAATATGTTGACTGTGATTCATATTATGCTGTTGCATTGAAGTCAGGTGATCTATTTAGGGAAAATAAATTATTTGGTGAAAATGTGGATTGAGTTACGTTAGTTGGACTAGAGTGGGAGAATCAGAGCGGTTTAATGTAACTCAAGTACTATCGTCCTACTGAACACTGAGTGGATACATAATCTTGATTTACTTAGCAGGTGAATTATTAAGTCATATAATGTTGCAGCATAATAAATATTGGATTTTAAGTGAGCATAGACTCTTATTTTTATTAACTTCCTCCATACAATTTGATATGGGTGATAATCTATGACAATATCAACTGGGAATCATACGGCTTTCATCAAAGATATTCGCCTTAACGGACTAAATGAACTGAATAATATCTGAAAATTCACAACTCAAACACGAAGATAAAATACTTAATGACCCATAAAACAGTTTATAAATTCTTTTGGATCGAAACGAGTTCTTTTTAAGCTTTAATGATGTTAAAATATGGATCGAAAAAGGAAGAATAAAAAATGTTCTAACCTTGCTTGAGTGTGTAGCTGAGCTGAGTCGGCATCCGACTAGCTGGTCTATACTTCAGAAGTGGATCCAAACGACCAGGTTGTCTCTTATGCTAATCAAGGGAATGGATATAAAAAAAGCTCCACAAAATAAGGTTGTGAAATTGGTGGACGACGAAAGCAATCTACTTTACATACAAACAGTGCAAAAACTGAACGAATATTACAAGCAGTTTAAATTCTCTTAAACTAGTAAGTCGCTTCTTAACGGAATTTATAGCTGGGATTTGTTGGGGATGTTAGATCCCCAGAACTCACTTGGTAAATCCCCTAATTTTGTAATTTTACTTTAGAAATTTAAATTTCCTTGTTTTCGCGCCAAAAGCGCTCTTTTTCACCTTCATGTCGTATTTCCCACTTTGGAGAATCTTCAACGCTATTGGCCTGTTGTGTATTTTTAGTATACTATTTTTGTTACGCTTCCCAAGGAGTTTTATGCTGTATATATATGTTTGATTTGTGTCTGTTATTATTCACTCGTGCTTCTGATTTACGGAATATACTTTTCCGTTCCAAGCTTGGACTTCTTCCTCTAGTTAGCGGGGCTGGGACACATCAAATAGCTAGCTTGTTGGTCTACGGTCACAAGTCTTTGTTCCGTTCGCATACTAAGTGAAGTAGTAATAGCTTCAAACCTACCAGGATTGAACTAGTTTTGGTTAATCTAAGCGTTGAAATAAGAATGTTAACGATGAACGGTTATCCTCAGTTCGTTCTAACACTTGGACCGAGTAAATTTTGACAGAAACCATCTGTAGAATATGTAAAAATTAGACTTATACTTGTTTTCTCATTAGAAACGAAACATTAAGGTAACCAGAGAAATACGAAAACAAAATTGGCTACCTAACTGGGTGATATGGTGGAGTCTAACAATTAGGCCCTTATCTGTTGGAGAATGAGCGACCTACAAAACTAATTCTGTCCAATAATTGAAAACATCTGGTCCCGTTATTTTTGTATGAACATGTTATCTTAATATATAAAAACATTCTTTTGGCTAGTAGTTTTGCCTTCGATCTCAGCGGCTTACGTCAATAATTTATTTCATGAGCAGTCACTACCCAACTACATCGTATTAATGAATATAACCCATCGACAAAAATTCTGCTCTTTTATTTTAAATAATCGGAAATTCGTTTGTAAATCATAAATCTATACTTCAAAAAGCTAGGCAATTACAGCACACCATTAACCAAGATTTAAAAACACAGCTGTGAAATGTAGTAAATTGATTCTCTATGTACGTGTGGCAAGTAGTTAACATAGGATTAAACATGTAGTTACTAGACATGTTACACTACCGAAAGGTTGAAACCCGAACTATCATATACGAAAATATTAACATACTGATAATTTAGATTCTTTTACTAACTCTTAGATAACTCAGTGTAAAGCGCTTCTCCCTTACCCAACTGGCTTGATCCCTTTCTTCCAAACGTTGCTTTAGTTCTTGTTCTGCAGTACGTTGGCGAGATAAGCGTTCGTGACGAACTTCCTCAATTTCCAAACGCGAATGGCGAGCAAGGAATGCTGGATCTGATATGTTCTCATCCAAAACACCAACTGATTTGATAGGTTCTCCAACTTGGTAATGCTCTTTTTGTGTCTGGGAAGATCTAGACCTGGATTTTGACTTAAGTTCTGGAGTTGGATAATTTTTATTTGAATGGACAGAGTTAATAGTCAGTAAGCTGGATCGTAAGGCGCGGAGATTACATGATTTAAGAGTATCCGTACCTGTTAGTTTTCGCCTGTCTGGGTGTTTTTGGGGGCATGATTTGGAATGTTTTATCCCACAAGAACAATCCATATAGATCTCGACACCTGGGATAGGTATAACACGCCAGCTAGGAACTAAACAAAGAAATGTAAGAAATGAGGCTTGTATGGGGAAAAATTGCAATAATAAATTATGGGGACAAAACTGAATACCTAATCGACAAATAATTTTAGCTACAAATTATTTCTGAAACGTATATTGTCGAGTTCTTCTGTATATGAGTCTTCTTTTATCACAAGATGCTGTGGAGAAGCGGTTTGCTTGGTGTGTATTGTAAAAGAACATTAGTTAAAGAATGAGGGTCATATAAATAATATACATAAAAACAGCAGTAATTCATGACGATACTGACTACAATACTTAACATTTTGGAAAGTCATAGATTAATGGCTTAGTGACAAAATCACTTGACAATAAACCAGTAGAACGCAAGTTTGGTCATCACCCCATCTATTCTAGCTTTGGCACCCCAGTAACGTGGAAAACATGCAGTTTAAAACCAAATGAACTTACAATTAACTAGAGTTACATGAGTAAAAATCTTCAGTTTTGAAAAGGTCACCACAATTATAGGAGTGACAGAATGGACTTCTGTAACTTTTAGAAAATTTGAGCTTAATGTGTACTTCAGTCATAAAATAATAACAGGTAGGTCTCTAGCATCGGTAGTAGTGTAAAAGTTTTGTCATAACTTCCTTGATGGGTAATAATGTAAAATAACATTGAGATTGTTTTTCGTTACCATATTTCGGCAGCTTGATTAATTAACAAACAGAATACTTCTAAACCAGAAAGCTATTAATTGAAATTCTGATGTACTCTTACTTCATTAGATGAGTTTATCAAAAGCATCAAAACCTTCGAATTCCGTTTTTCTTTTAGTTCACATAAAAAATTAACAAAACCTAAAGACAGCTATATATATCCCCTAACGCCGTCGTTGGAGCCTACAAACTTATCTGGTTAGTTTCGTACTTTTGCCAATCAATTACCACTTGTACATGACTTTTTAAGCCCTCAAATTGAAGAGATAACCTTATGTGATAATACTTTCAAATAAAATTGTGGTCGGAAATTGACGAGATAACAGCAAAAATATAACTTACCCTCAATAAGAACAGCTGAATTGGACATCTTTGGTATACCTCTCGGCTCCATCACATGAACTTGGACAGTTTCTGGACTTCGGGGATGACGGTTAGTAAAATCTGGCACATAATAATATGACTGAGTAGTGAGATAGGCAGGCTTTCGATCATTACACGAAGGCTCAGTAGTTTGTGCATTAAGTTGTAAAAATTGAGTTGGTTTTCGTGTACGAGGTTTAGTGGAAATTTCGGGATCTGGTAATCCATGAATCGAAGGTTCAATGAGCTGATCAATAGATTTCCGACGCTTTGGTGGTTCTTTGTATACAATCATAATTTTATCTTTGTTTTTCAACTTCACATCACATTTGTTATCGTCCGAATTATCATATCTTTTAGATACTGAAGATACAGGAGACAATCTGCTGGTATTACGTGAGCGACTCACGTATCGAACATCCTTAGGATTCTGTCCACTAAGATGGCCAGTTATTTTATTTAAATGGAGGGAGTCCTTTGCACAAATAGAAGTAGCGGGTATTTCCTCTTCAATCACAAAATGATTCTCATCCAATAATGAATCCGTACTACGTGTAGAAATACGTGTCTGGCACTCTGTGGGATGATTTTTAACGACGGGAGTAACTTGGGATCGATACTGGCAAACTGGGTGCGGGGAGTTTTGGAGGCACGGATATTTCGGATGAGAAATTACTGGGGTTTCGCTAGAGTTCGGGATGCGTAAAGAATATGAAACATTTGATACAGAAAGGTTGGGGGAATTGATTGAAGTAGGAGATGGAAAGATCGGTGGATTTGATGGGGTTACCCCAGGAGATAAAGTTGAATAACTTATGCTTGAGTTCTCATAATTAGGTTTATAGTTTACATCCACGGGATTTACGATCTTATCAGTTAATTTCGTAACACGGCGGGCTAAAAAAAAAACAGAAAATGCAATTACTATAAGAATGCTACGGTTTACATAAAAAGTCAGACTATTTGATGAGGATTTGTATGGATATACTAAAATAGTCAGATCGTAAAGTTGATGAGACTTACAATTCATAGTGTTCTGCATGAAAAATTCGAGAATCAGGTTTTATTTATCACAACTCATGAAAAGTGGGGTCGAAATTAATATTCAACATTAATTGAATTCAAAATATAACATCGTACTAATTTACTTAAAAGGATAGTTGATTTCCGATACAACATAACGTTTGAACGAGATAGAGACCGTAACTAATGATTCTAGTTTCTTAAATAGTCTATTTACACCTGATAGTCCAGATACAACTTTTGTGGAGGATGAATAAACATATTGTAAGTGTCTGAACAGTTTCGCATACCCCCAATTTAGAAACTAATCGTGATGGTAAAAAAGGGCGTTTAAAATGAAATATCCTGCAAAAGAAACAGAACCAGATACTTTAGGTGTGAAGTAGTAAAGTAATGAAGGATTTTCATCCTAACAAACGTTACATTAAAAATTACCTCAATTAATCATGAGGTCGATAGACAGACATTAATTTCGTTAAGGCTTGAGCAACATATAAAATCCACGTCTTCCAATTACTTATTTCAAATAACTCCCAACCAAGTTTGTTTTTGTTTTAAATATTTTGTACGCAACCATGTCATTTAACTAGTGGGAATCTATTCTTCGAGATGTGTCTTTTCGTTACATTTCACCCGTAGACTAACGTCAATAATTCGATGCGACAAGCACATAACAGTGGACCAAATTGTGTAGCTGTGTATCACTTGTTGATCAGCGTTTTAATTATCATCTTAAGCCAAAATAAGTCTTTAAAACTCGTATTCAACACTCACTGACGTATTATCAAGTTTTTCTTTGTAATGAATAATTTTGGACCACATAAAGAATGAGGCAATTAAGAGACTACGCTGAAATAGTGGAAGTGGTGAATAATAGCAAATAAGACTTACAACGTTTGGCAGTTTTCAGGTCCGTGTTAGAAAGGTAAGGTGATGGTCTCTTCTGGCCCATACTGTCGTGATTACGTCGTATTTCTTCAGATTTGGTTTTACGAAACAGAAATGGCTGGGCTTTCTACTGAAATGGCTGAGGAACAGATACAACTTACAAACTTTATAGATTGCAGAAGGGAAGTTTGTGGACTTAATTCATTTAAAGCATTTTCCATTGGATGTAGGTGGAGTCGTTTTAAAAGACCAAACATTGGTTGAACAGCTGTAACCATGTTAGGCTTATCTGAAAGACAAAGATAACACTTACTACTGAATCCACTCTTTTAATCTTCATCACATAATTAAAAGATAACTGAAAAAATAGTCGGTGTTGTTACACTTCGAATATCATATTTATTTAAACACAGATATTGGTACAAGGAGGCACCAAATACATATGCGCCACACAAATCTCATTCGATATGTGTGAGGGCTGTGATACCCGGGTGCCCAAACCGAAGCAGGTGGTTTCCCCAGAGGGCCACACCCCGAGCCTTCGACCTGAAGGTCCAATCCATAAGACAGTGGAGTATCGTGAGGAGATGCAGTCCCATGGAGGCTGGTGACCAACCTTAGGTTCATATGCCATATCATAACAGATTTAAGAAGTCCCGGATGTATCAAATCACAAAACTTATCTTCGGTCTTAAATAAATGTACTATTACGACTATGTGGACGTCAATAATTCGTCTTTAAACTAGCAATTTGAACAAATGTTTACCAGCCGTTTAAGTAAAGTTAGATCACACGTTCCATATTAAAGCCAATGGTTTGAACCAAGCATTTTTAATAGCGCCGTATTCTAGATGTGTCTATCTCCTTTACCTCAAAAAACCCACATAACGCCACACATCAGTTTGTAGGCCGCAAGAGACGAAATGAATAATCCTAGTGCGTTTTCAAATACAGAACTCCTTTGGACTAATTTTGTCGCAGTCACAGTTATCTGTATGACCTCTAGAGATAGCTATTAAACAGACGGTGCCACTGACCATTATTCTATATTGCGACGTGTAGTGTAATTAACAGGGTGACTAGAAATTCGCTGTTGGGTTGCGTATGTATTCACTCTATACTATAATTTAGAGTGATTCTCAACGTCAAGTCATTTTCCTTACTTTGCAAGCTTATTTTTCGGACCACGTCCTTTATCTTTAGTCTTTTCGCTATCATTAATACTACTATCATTTTAACTCCTTTACCAAGAATCTCGTTAATCTTATAATGTAAGGCGAAATCAACAAAGTTCTTGGTAAATAGGTTGGGATGATAGTAGTATCAATGATGGCAAAAAGACTAAAGATAAAGGACGCGGTCCGTAAAGGAAGGATAAATTTGCAACATAAGTAATATGAATTGACGTTGGGAATCAAAGTCGGCGAGACTCTGAGTTAGCGACGACCTTTGAACGAATCTTAAATGACCTTGACAATTATTAGCCAATCAGAAGACAGTTAGTATAAAGTGAGAATATATTGTAATTAAGTAATGAATTACAGTGGATATTCTTCTTTACATGATTTAAAAACTTGTTAAGGTTTGATGAAGGTTCAGAGGCTCTGAATTCATAATGCCTATTGTATAGAAACTCGTCCATAGGGTTAGTGGTTAGGCTTGTAGCCTGTCAAAAGACACCTCTTCTCTAAAATCCGATGTAAACCGATCGCATGTTAGCACCCCAACCCTAACCCAAACCTTAACCTAACCCTAACCTTAGCCCTAAACCCTAACCCTAACCTTAACCCCAAACCCTATGGACGAGTTTCTATACAATATGCATTATGAATTCAGAACTTCTGAGCATTTATCAAACCTCAACAAGTTTTTAAGTCATGTAAAAGAAGAAGAACATGAACAACAAGTGGATGGGATACATCGCCCTATAATTCCCACTGTATAGAATGTATTTATTTTTACTTATTTCACGTAAAATTAGTACAACTGGGTGCCAAGAAATAGTGTGGTTCACACTAAGCTATTGGAATTCACATTTAAGATGGTGGGACCAATACAGATCAAATTAGCGATACAGCCACATCGAAATTGTTTGGAGACATTTAGGGTGGTTAGGTTTAGTTAACTAAACTTCAGTGTGAACTACAATAAACCGTTTAAGAATGCATCAAGTTCATGGATGCTAATGATTGTAAGACTGTGGTACCGGCGAGACTACAAGTTATGGACGAATAAATCAGATTTACGATAATAGATCTTGCACTTTGGTGCGAAATTCGTTTACCCATTTGGCTAAATGGAATCCTGGTATTACAGCTGATGTCAGTTCGTGATGAAAACCTTAAATCTAATTCCTGACCCCAATCATCAACTATAAATCATAATCCTTATTCTTGAAACTGCTTTATAACCCTCACTTGGCCCTAGTAAGTAGGTAGACACTCAAAAGGTCACCTTAGCGTCGCTCAAGGGTCGTCCATAAATTATAGTCTCACCGTGGTACCATTTAACAATGACTGCCAAACAAGAGGTCAAATCCAAGCAAACTACTGAAAAACGCAGTTGTCTCTGGTGGCACAATAAGCACCTGATATATAAGGTGACCAGTCTTTGTAGGAATAAGTGATGTTATGTTTGTATCTCATGACTAAAATGTTAGTGAATGGGTTCAAAGCTAATAAATGAAGCTGTCCAGTTGCTAGTTTTTTGTCTAATGTTCGGAAACACCCCCAGTTAGACTCAAGAGGTGAATAAATACACTCAGACAGACCACCGAGTGCCCGGAAAAAAATATATCCTTAAATCCAACTACTTCAGCATACATAATCCTTCAGATACTTCTAAGTATTTAGATTCGACGACAGGAACTACTGTTAGTCAGATGTCTACTTGCATCTTGGCTAGTAATTAACATTATTGGCGAAAACCGAGACATTTATGGAAATCGAAGGACCTACTAAAGGTATCTGACTATAGATTGTCGTCCTAACTCAATTTACAGAGGACATTTCACCTGTTTTACCTAAGTGTTCTGAATACATATATAGTTCTGCGGATGCCAGAGAGAACAAAAACAGTTAATTCACGAAATACTAAGCGAGTCCCAAAATCAAAAGTGTAATAACAGGAAACGCAATGCGCCAGGACGTTGGGTGAGCTCAGTGGATTTCCTACACTTCAGCACGCATTTGAAGTTTCGCGACGAAACAGAAATTTTGCAGAAGAATTCAGTTTGATAAGATAATCTCACAATAAAAGTTGTAACACGATGCGAAAACCCACCGAAAAATCATATAAAGAATATCAAGAACAGATAGCACACAAATCTTCGCGCCCTAAGGCACTAGGCAGTACAAATAAACACGCGCGAGGCACCACCCAAATCCAGTATATTCTGTACAAGCTTATGAAAATAAATTGATTCTTCTGTCCTCGCCTCTTGTTGTTTTTGTGCGCTTTTAGGCCTTTTGCAGTGTTCAGTGAGTGACAGTCTAGCCACTCGACTTTACTATTTCTACTCAGTTTGGTATCTAGTTGTGGATTTGTACATCTTCTAATGATAGTGAGTGGGTTTGTCTCAGATCATTTGAGGTTTCTTGAACCAGGAAATGTCACATTACTAGACAGCAGGTCAGATGATTGCAATGTGAGAAATAATAAGATGAAAACTCCAATGCTAAAAGTGAACAACCGCTTCAAGAAGTAAATAAACAGGTTAGTAAATTAGCAATGGAAACATCGTGAGCAAACCATAGTGTAGGAAGAAAAGGAAAGACGGAGTTGATAGTGAGTGAGGTAGAAATAAATTAATGACATTTGATAGCGATAGTAGTAGATAAGTTACGAGACATGCATCCAGCATAGCTAGTAAAAGTGGTAGATGGTAATCTATGGGTGAGCGTGTGTTTGTCAAGTCTCTTCTTGTAGGTATGTGCTGAGGAGGCTGCAATCATTTCGGTTGTGAGAACACTCCAAATGAAAGAGACTCCAAGTGAGAAAAAATGAGAGTGTGACCGAGCTTTCTCGCCTTGATGTGCAGTTTTCCGTTGGTTGGTTTGCCAAGCATGCTCATAATGTTCTGGTGGGATGCACGTGTTGAGGCGACTTGGCATACTCATGTGTTGTACATCATTATCAGATCATCACCCACTCTCTTATAACTCAGCGAGAATAATTCCAAGTGTTGAAGTCTGTCTATGTAAGATTATTCTTTGGCCTGTTTGGTTGTCGGTCTTTATACTTGGTTTGAGACACTTATATCTCGTTCGAAATGTGGAGACCCAATGTTGTGGAATTTGGAGTAATGTTTTGGGTACGTGTTAATGCGGAGGAAACAATTCTGGGGCGAGTGTACCAAGTTGTCTTTGCATAAAGTGAAGAGTTGCATTTGTTTCAGCTGCATCCCGAATGTAGTTTCAGATGGCGTTTAAGCTCTCTGTGATAGTAGCCCGAGATTACGTTCTGAGGAGACAATAAGAAGCGAATTTCCATGAAGCACGTAGATAATTTCTGTGAAATGAGGCAGAATGTTCGTGACATAATATTTCGACTGGTTGAGCGTTAACCCACCGTCTACCGCCCATCCCTCTGCCATTGTATGGTATTTTTGGAGCTCGAGTGAATCGTTTTACTTTTTAATGAAACTCCACATCTTGCTATCACTTGAGCATATGACAGTCGGAAAGTTAATTTCATCTAAGAGGTCATCATTTAGAACCAAAAAGAGGAGTTGTACCTAAAGTGATTCTTTGTGAGACTTCAGATGTTGAGAGACCCTACCTCGCGAACGTACCACACATTGGTGGGATATATCCTGTTCTAGCAGGTTATCCAAATACCCCATACCATGAGAAGAAATCAATATTCAATATTTTTATGGAGCGTTGTTCTAAGTGGATTATTTCCTTGGTGTTATGGTCGTCAATAAAGTTCAGTGAGGGTAATATGACGTTTGATAGCATCAATCTTGGTGAATCAGATGGTTTCCCGATGTTTGCATATCTTTAATTTAAGTGGACCCATTTATCTCAAGTGCTAGGGTTGCAAGAACCAGTAGCTGCCACGTTACCGCGCAATTGATTGGTTAGTTGTAATGTGAAAAACTAGGAAAGTAGACTGAAAAGTACTCAAGAGATGACGGTCAGTATAAGTAAGTGAATTGATATGGTCAACTAGACGTATGAAAATGACAGCTAAACGAAGCTGACCATTAACAAAGTGGGTAGAATAGGTTGATGATAATCACAGTATTACTAATATAGATTAGTAATTATGGAT